ATACTTAATGGACTTAATGTTATTTCACCATCATCTGAAAAAATAGTTGTAGTGCTAGTTGAAGACCATGCTGATATCAATTTTTGAATAGTACTTGTAGTTCTTGAAATCTAAATGAAACAAACAGTATTTTTTTTTTTGCAAAGCTTATATCAACTCACTATGTCTGTCTGGCAAAAAGTATATACATCTATTTGTCCCACACCCCATTCTCGGGTCAAGCTGAAAATTTGCACAATTATTCATTGACATAGACAAGACAGGAATTAAAAAAAAACAATTAGACAATTACTGGTAATTCATTATTTTATTTAATAGCAACAAGGGAAACTAATACTTCAGTATTTACATATATGGCTAAATTTGTTGGATTTAGTCCCCTTAAATAATTGTTAACACTATTTCTCCCTCACTCATTTTTCTCCCATTAAGTTGATACTTTAAACAATTATTTATTGTACCTAACAAAAGAATGAATCAATAAACAAAAATACCCCATTAGTCAATCAGTTATTGGTATTAATTATTTTGTTTGAGATTGAATAAATAAGGGAAATAACGTGTTGAATAAATAAGGGAAATAACGTGTACATTATTGGTAGATATAGTTTTAAATAGCTTTAGATTTTTAATTTTTTTTTTAAATGGATGTTTTATATTTTGTTATGTAATTGTTGACAGAATGTCAGAAATGTATGTACATGACATTGTCATTAGTTGTGGTTGAAGCTTTGATGTTTGTTCATAGGAGTTGGTGGAGTTTTATCAGAGTACAGAGCTGGCAGACAGTTTCCCTGATGTCTGTACAACACTCAAGTACCCCTACAAGCGAGTGGCCAGTGAGTTCTCTTGTCTCTATCAAGTTTATATTCTATCTATAGTGCTTACAAGGGTCATCTCTCCTTTTTAAATGTTTGTTTATAATGTAGTTATCTCTTGTAAAATATATGTTGTAACAACTGGATGAGATTTGTTTTGATAATAATATTATCTTTACTATCCTTGAGGAAAGGAGTAAAAACTTGTTATTTTTTTAAGTAATATTTCTTTTCTTTTTATAACCTAAATTTTGCACTATTCATTTAATCTTTTTTAAAAGGCTGATGTATGTACATTTTAGTATAAGGATGACAACCATTGCTCCATCTCTTTAAATGAGAATTCTATATTGCTTTTAGAAATCACTATCTAGCTATGGCCATGCCTCTTTCAAAATTTAGCATAGTCCCAGGTCACTGTTTTAGTTTTCATCAATCTTGAATCTGGAAACCCATTACTGTCTAAAATGTCATCCTCATAGTTCAAATGAATAAGATGATGATAAGAAAATTTCAGGCAGTAGAGGGTTAAGAACCTAAAAGATAAAAAAAAAAGAGACAAAGATTTTACTTTGTGTGAAACAGTGGATGAATTCTTTCCAGGTGGTCCCAAAGTCCTGGGCTACGCTGTGGCCATCTACGACTATGCGGCCACATCCACATCACAGGTGACGCTGCAGGTGAATGATAGAATTGCTATACTCAGCAAGACAGGGCAGGACAAAGGCTGGTGGAAGGGAGAGAACTTAAGAACAAACAGGGTAAGTGTTGAAATTCAAGGATGTCTTTGAATCTCCTTGAATTTAAAAAAAACTCAAAAAGTCCTGGAAATCTCCTGGAATTTTAAAATATCTCCTTGAATGTCCTGGAATTTCGCCGATCGGGAAAAAAAAAAATTAGCGTAAAAAAAAAAATAATTAGAGGATGGGCGGGGCGGGCAGAAATAAATTCGAAATTACCGTTACCGAGTCTGCGCAGAAGGTGTTTAAAGCTCCTTCACTATATAAAGCATCGTTATTGGATCGTTTTTTCAGTGAACACGTTGATTTTCATCCAAATTTGATTTAAAGTTTATGTTACGCATCTTCAAAATTGTTTTCCTGTTTCATTTTGTGCCTTTATATTTTCATCGGATCATATTATTACTTTAAATCAAAGCTATTTATTTATATTCACATTATATAATCCATTTCTTTAGCACCCTGCTGATGAAATCTTGTGGTTGTGACTGATATTCCCTTTGTTAATACTTCTGTCTGCCAGGGCAACTTTCCTTGAACAAACATATATAAAAAAATGGTCTGAATGTTGGGAATAATAAAAAAAATGTACCTATGTAGCCTGGAAGCACTGGGCCTACACGGAGTAGAGTTTACCAAGGCTTGAACAAGATATTACAGCCCAGTGCAGGATGAGCCATTGTCCTGTTGGTTTTTACTTTGCACTGTTAAGGCTAACCAAGCCCTGAACAAGATATTATTATAGCCCAGTGCAGGATGATCCATTTTCCTGTTGGTTCTTACTTTGCACTGTAAAGGCCTGAACAAGATACTATTATTTATTATAGCCCAGTGCAGGATGAGCCATTGTTCTGTTGTTGTTTTTTTTGCATTGTAAAGGTCATCCCCTTGCGATGAAGATGAATAAACCATTTCTCATAGTCTTTTTTTGCCAGACTTACCTATTCTGATTTGATGGGTTCAGGAAGCCACTTTCTCTTAGACTTATATGGACAGGTATATGCACTGTTCACAACCTCAGGTTGTTTTTTTTTTGTCCAAGGCATTTGGAAGAGAGGGTTTTAGCCTGTAAGCCATCACCTTCGAGGAATTAGATCAGCGGTTCTCAACCTTTTAAGCTCGGCCACCCCTTTTTACAATCCCCCACTCTGCCTTGATCCCCCCCCCCCCCGCACACACACACAGCAATAGAAGAATAGACAAAAACAATAAACTTTTTCGATGGTCTTTGGCGACCCCTGGCAAATCGTCAATCGATAGGTTGAGAACCCCTGTATTAGATGATGATCACTTGATGTTTTCATTGTGTACCTTAAATCAAATTTTTTTTGTTTCTCTCCTTTAGATTGGCTATTTTCCCTTAGCCTATGTACAAGATGAGGAAGAGCAAACTTGATCCAAGTTGTAACACATTCCTGCCCAAAAGAACAATCTTGTGTGAAAATTAAGGTTGATGTTATGACCCTAAAGTTGAAGTCTGTGTAGTATCACTTCTAGGAAATAATTCACATTTATTGATATCACAATATATATATTTTTTTTTTATTTTATTAAATATTAAAAAGTGAGAGATCTACTGGAGAGAGAGAAAGTGCGTGACTGAGAAAGCAAGAAAAAGATGAAAATATAAAAAATGAACTTAAAAGTGAATTGCTTGTGGATGATGTCTACTTGGAATGATGTCAGTGCTTGACTGTATCTGTGTACATTTACCATGAAACTGTACTATAAAATGTTATAAAGTAATTACATGTGAATATTGAAGTCAGACCATTAGCTATGGATAGGCAAGTACTTATAATACATCAGGTGCTCAGTTTATGTGTTGGTGTGTGCGTGTGTGTGTGCGCGCATGTACAAGACCTTTAGTAATCTTGTTAAGCAAGGACATGAAGATGTTGGTGTGTATGTGTTGAGGCAGCAGCCAGCTGAGAGAGGTTTAGGGGCTGTGTATTAATTTTAAAATATGCTGAAGTAGTGGCTCAGTGTGTGGACAATGTCGCATCAAGATTGTGCTTGTATATATAATCATTGATATTAGTTATTTTTTGGGGGTTTCCCTAAAGGTAGCGAGGCCCAGATTTTTTTTTTGGGAGGCTAGAAAATGTATTTTAGACCTCATTAGCATATTCAGTAGACCTTGATGTAACAAGAAGGTTAATGGCAATAGGCTTTAAGCAGTGCTATCTCCAAATTCTGTTCTGGCTAACAAGTTAAATGGTCTTTTCGCTCTGAATTCATGAAAAGGAAATGCAGGAAAGGGACAGGTTGAACTGTTTGGTTGAACTTTCAAGTTAGTTTCATTAGTAGTGTCACCCTGAAGCATGACAGGTTGCATTTTGGCTACTAGCTTATTACATGGGCTGATGGTACTGAACCAGAAATATTGGGCAGATTTTTTTTCTCTTAAGTTATTGACAGTCTACATTTTGGCCTATGGGAAAACCCAAGACTGCAATTGGTATGATTCTTAATCATTTTTAGTCTGGAAAAAGTTTAGAAAAGGCAGGAAAAAAAGCTGGGGTGTACTAATACATAAGGTCATGAACCCTGATTGATAACATTGCAATGAAAATAAATGGTTGAAGTTATCTAGTAGTTTGCAAAAAATATTTAAAACTGAAATCTTTGTCCTCTGGTTTACCTACATAGCTAATACTTTCAATACCTTTTCTTTTTAACCATATTGTGTTTTTACTGTGAAGACATTGTTTTGAACTAACGAAGTCATAACATATCAAATGTTTTGAATCTGATCCTACTCTAGTAGCTTGCCACATTCTTGCAAACATCTTAAATAGAACAAATTAATATGAAATATATATATATATTAAAATCATTGGTTAAAATGACAGAATATGAACTTTTATTTTTATTATTAAAAATCCTCAGAATATGAACTTTTATTTTTATTATTAAAAATCCTCTGCTTTTTAAATTTAAAAAAATGGACCACAGAATTGTAAGAACGTTTGTGTGATTTCATTTCATATTGTGAGACTCTAACACTACAACTGCAGTGGTAATGGTTGGAACATTAATTCTTAAGAATTCATTTTGTCTGTTCAGTACATCATTGTTTCAATTCAAGTGTCGCCAACCTTGTGATTTTTTCGTAAACTTGGCACCTTTATTGTTTTGTTTTTTTCCTGTTATGCGCTCTATGAGTTGCTGGTCTTGATAACTTTTTAAGCATCGTTAATTTTTGTATTTGAGTGGTCAGTAGGTTATCTCTTCATGGCTTCAACAGACTTCTAGTGGTTTGCCTTCAGGAACACTAGTCAGTTAATTCTTGACTTTTTGTTGTTGCTTTTTTTTTCAAATCTGGACTTGTATTAAGAGCCCTGAGTTCAAATTCAAGCAAACTTTTTTTTAAAGCAATCACACTAACATTCACTCAGATACCCCCCCCCCCCCTTTTTTTTTTCTCCCCCCCCCCCCCCCCAACTGGTCCTGACAATAATTAAGATTGTAGCACATTGAGTAAAAAAGCATGGAATTGTGCTAAACAGAAACAATTGATACAAATATTTCTGATCAAGCTTATTCATTGTTGGTCTATCTATTATAAAATTGAATGGCATGACTGATCCAGACTGATTGATACAATTACACTCCGTAGAAGCTTTGGTCTTTTTTGTTGTTGTTGTTTTTTTTTTCAAAAAGTATTTTTTATGTTTTTCTAGTTAAATAGTTAAGTTTCTCTACAAAACAGAACTTGCAACCTCCACATAACTTGTTTCAGTCTTGTTTCTTACTAATCTAGTTAGTTGGAAGGGCGATAGGAGAAATAGTATAGGGTGAGAGTTCCTGTCCTCATATTGAGGTCAGGAACATGTGATTTTGGGAAATAGAATCGGCAGCTGTTTTCAGGATGAACTAGAATGTGAAAAAGAAGTCATTAGATATTATGATGTTCTGTTTTGGTTTTCTCCTCTGCGAGAATAATACAGAGAAAGATAAAACTGGTTCCTTAGTCGATATTTCGAATTTGTAAATCTTAAAGAAGTAATAATATTCAGCATCATCGAAAAAATAACATGGTTGTTGTTGTTTTTTCTTGGTTATAAGTAAGGTTTTTCAAATATTTCTTTATAGGCCATCCTGACATAAAAAATTAGGTTACTAGGGCAGCTTGAGCTCTGCTATGGGATTATTATTTTTTTTGATTGCCATTGCTTGCTATCAGATATTGTTACCTGCATGACTTAATGTTGGCTTCAACCTTGTTAGTTCACGTTTGGGAAAAAAAAAGAATTGCTTCAGGATGTTGATAAATTACAGTTGACCATTGCTTGAAGATGTTGATCACTTTTTGATGTTTTTTTCTTTTGTACAACTGTTGAACCAGAATGTACTTTTGATGATTGCTTTAAGATGTTGACCAATGGCTTTATTTGTGAAATTCAACCCATATTTGGACTCGCTTATGAGCATAACATACATTGTATTTCTTATTATTATTTTTTTTTAACTCATGTACTTCAGGTTGTTGATTGCTACAAAAAAAATTCTATATTTTTTCCTATTTCTAGACAATTTATCAAATATACTTTTCTATTTTGTATGTATTCATTACCACAGTTAAGTATTTATTTATTTTTCTCTACGTCACCTTAGCCATAAGATTCTCCTGTTGTGAATTAACTTATTGACAGATGGTTCTTTATACATATATAGTAGTGAGAGCAACATTCTGCTAACCTGGCAGCAAAGTTTTGTGTAAGAAAGAAAGATTGTTGATTGTGTTTTGGTAAATAGTGTACTGGGAGTTGAAATATTGTTGATTGTGCTTTAGTAAATAAAGTGCTGGGAGTTGAAAGATTGTTGATTGTGCTTTAGTAAATGGTGTGCTGGGAGTTGTCACTGTTTGTTCTCCCCTGCAATAAATTATGTGCTTTGATGAACTGAAATAATCCAGATTGAAATGTATGTTTTTTTGTGTGTTTTTTTTACTCTCTGACCTGTGTAATAGATGCTACACCACAAAGCAAATGTACTGAAGCTATTAGTTGTACAGAAATCTAGTTTTATGGTATGGAATACAATGATGTTATATGTATGTATCTTGTTTTTAGAAAGCTGGTTTTTGGGATGGGTCTGTAATTGTTAACTCCGCAATGCTTCACTGTTTTAGCTTTGCCCTGGTGCCAGGGTTGATAGGTACAGTGTCTCTTTTATATGGTACGATCTCCTAAAATTTCCTCCATGAAACAATATATTTGATCTAAAACTTCTGAACAAAATTACCAAAAGCATCAGACATGTTTTGGAATTTAGCATTGAATTACATTCTAAGAAAAAAAACAAATGTCTGTGCTGTGACCTGATTCCTAAACATTGTTCTGATAGTTTTCCTTCTCAACTCTGTATCCAATCTCTTACATTTCAACAACCCAAAGAAAAAAGTTACCTCTAGATGTGGTTAGCAGGGACTTTACTTGTCTTATCTGACTGTCCATCTGAAACCTGTAGCTCTTGTACTATATAGCTCCTCCTTCGTGGTTGAAGATGAGCACATTTCTCATTTCCTATGAACTCGAAGATGACTGTGAAGTCCATTCTTTGTATTAAAAAGTAAAGTTGGGTCTACTCCAGACAAGCCTGCTCCTATTTTTAGAATTTTTTTAGCTCTCTCTTTTATGCGGGCAGCTCTCCTTGCCTCGTATCTCGAGACTCTTAACACTCACAGCTTCATGCGAGCAATCCAGTGCTAGTGTTTCCCGCCTTGAATGTCAATATCGCCCTCCTTGAGAGAGGATATCTTTGTAACGTTTGTGTTGACCTCCCCAAGTTAGCGCTTTCCCCATAAAGAAGTCTTACAGATTAGGTTTCAACATTTGTTGCTGTTTTGATTTTGGTGATTCTTGTGATAATCTGTCTTACAAAAACTTGGTCATAATTTGCAAATGAATTTGTTTTGTTATTTTTTTCTCAACTAGTTATTAAATATATATTTTGGTTGGTGAGGTTTTCTTTTTGTTTTGTTTTTCTAAATTGATCAGAATATTTTCTTGCAAAAATATTTTGTTAAAATTTGTTTTTGTTTTGATCATGCTCAAATTGTTTCTTGTTTGTTTTGTTTTTTTATTAATTTTGTTAATGCATAAACTAACAATTGTACAACCACAGCAAACTTCTGGTGGGAAGAGACATGTTTCTCATGTTGATAATTTCATGTTACCATCTCCTTGTTAGTAGCTAATGCATGGGAAGTAATTCCTCATTGTTTTTCTTTTTAAAATAAAATAATAAGATAACACTTAATAATGAAAAAGACAAAAGAGAATGAATTTCCCCAGAATTGAAAATGGGAACAGCCAATGTATGAAACTACTGCAGATTATTTTGTATTTAAAACTTCTATTATGTTTTGCATTCAAACATTTTTATTTGACAGAGTTAGTATTTGAAGAAATTGTATGCACATAAAACCTATTGTATTTGTACTTTAGTAGAACACAGAATTTTGTATAAGAATTTAACTTGTCATATAACATCATTCTAAACTGTTAAGTACATTGAAATTTTCTATAATGTCATTGTGCCTGTAGTCTAAGGAACTCACAGAATCATAATATTTTTTTATATCTATATTTTTCTTGCTTGGCAATTTTGTATGAAATTTCATTGGTCAGTGAATTTGGCACAACTATTTATTTTCTGTCTGTCCACATAAAGGCCTGATTATAACCATGCAATTTTCTTCACACTTGAGATTATGTTTTGTCATAATATTTTTTTTTAAGTCTAAATCTGCATTAATACATTTGGAAAAGAATTTAGATGAAAAGAAATTTCAGATTTTTGAATGTTATGTTATACAAAAACTGGCATAAAATATTTTGGCTAGTTTCAAAATAGCTGCAAGCACAATTTCTTTTGTTTTTTCTTTCAAGTCAGAAAATGTTTTGTATTTTTAATGTAAGTGAATTTTTTTTTGTTGTATTTGGTCACATGGGATATGACACATGTACAGCCTGCAATATTGTATGATTTTTCATGAAAAATAGTTAAATCAAGATGTGGTTTCTGTGAATAAAACTTCTCATGAACATCATATGAACCAGTCTTTTGTGAATTTATGTTTAGATATGAATGCTCAAATGATGCTGCTTGCAAAAGTTTGCTGCCTGGGCAATGTACTGGTAACTGATAAGTTATAAGTGTTATTGTTGGAAATCTGTTCGAGGGGCTTAGTGCGTTTGAACTTAGCTTGACTACCTATGAAAGGGGCTCAAGGTTCGACACCCGACTCAAGCAGAGTTGTGTTTACTGATCGTCTAAAGGCAGCACAGAAAACCTTATCCCAGATACACCCTCCTCCCTGCTGGTCCACAAATGAGCATGCTATAAGTATGAAAGTAGCGCTATATAAAAGCTATAATAATAATATATTATAGTCTGCTTAACTGTATACATTTAACTTTATTTACTATTATAGTCACCAATTTTAAGTGTATTACCTAAATATGACAGAGCAACCTCAAATGGACAGACAACATGTGGCAAAACTTGAAATAAATAATGTTTGTAAAATTTATTTTCATTTCTCAGTCAAAGCAAACAAAAATCCATAAGACAATTGATGCATATATTGTCCTGAAACAGAATCATAACAATAAAATATAGTGTGAGTGGTGGGGCAGGGCAGGGCTTTATGTGAGAGGGGTATCAGGCTTGCATTCATTTTTGGGTTGACAACATATGTATGCATCAAAATTATGGGATAAGATGGACACCAATATTTACATAAATAGTATTCAAGTGAAATATATAAACATCCAGTATCACAAAATATAGTATGTTTTGTTTATTTTTTTTTAATAATCCATATTTTTTAAAAGTATTTGATAGAAAAATCTTTGAACATCAAGTATTACAAATGTGAAAACAAGGTAATGGAAAACATTTGAGTATTTGCATTTAGTGTCATTTAAAAACATGGATTGCACACAGCAAGTTTGAATTATATCATAATTACTTTACACCACAGGTCTTGCTCATTTATTGACTATTCCTAGCATTGCCACTCTGCCACAGAATATAAGAAGAGTTTTATGTCTTATATCACGGAGCTTTTCTAAACAATCTTCAATGTCATAAGTTGACATCTTTCTTGTCTGAACTCTTCTTTTGTTATAAATGTAGGGGAGAGAAAAATGTGTTTTGAAACAGTCTCAGCAGCACATCTTGTGTGCTACCAAAGGGAAGTAAGTGTGAGCTCTTTAAGCAATAGTGCTTTGGGCCTTAATAGACTTTCAGTCACTTGAAGGATGAGTGGATCTTTTATAAAAGGTAAAGGTACTCCCTGTCAGACCTAGCCTTCCATGAGACTAGATAGTGTAAAAGTTCATCTGTTTCTATGGCTAATGACCAAAGGCCTATACTTTCTCCATTAGAGTTAGGTGGGCTCAGGGACGCCCTAATAATCCCAGTCTTCACCAGGATTCAAATTCGAGACCACTTGGTTTGGAGGCCAAGCACTTTACCACTCATCCACAATGCCCCTGAATATTTTTAAAGCGCATCTTCAGAACACTTTCCCCCCCCCCCCCCCCCCCACCTACATGGCATAGCCATAATGAAATATATCTATGGGACTAGATCTATGTAGATTATATAGATAAGTAAAAAATTAATATCCATATGTACATATAACAAAAAAAAGTAAACTTATCACAGAATTACTGTGTCTATAAAAATATTTGAAAAGAAAAAAAAAAAAAAAAAAAAGGGTTACAACAGATAAAAAAAAACATTGGAAGAAAAAGACTTGTCACAATATTGACTAAGATTGAAGTCTCCTATGAACTGAGACCAGAATCATACAATTACACAATTTAAAACAATTATGTCTCTAGATTGACAGACCAAAAGAAGCCTGGACATCTTCTTCAGTCTACACTTGGAAAAGAGTGCAAATAAAAATGATGAATAAATTAAATGCAGTTTTTTATGACATTTTATAAACATATCAAAACGTATCACCACAATTTCATATATTCCATCTAATGTGAAAATTAATATGTCCTGACACAAACCTGCAGTTTGCAGGGTTTGAACCTCTGACCATCATGACAAAGGCCCAAAGTAAGGGGTAAAGCTAGGAATTTGCCATCATTTGGGGCTTGACCTCGTAGTGGCCCCTTCATTTTGCATAATATTTAATATCAACCTAGCTTCGCCACTGCCCAAAGTGCATACCAGGCTGACATCGCAAGTAATGGGAATCACTGTAATTTGTTATGGAACTGTGACACTGGCTTGAAAATAATTATTGTATCTGTATGACTAGAATATGAAATACAATTCAAGGGTATTAACTGCTCACAGCACATCAAAAATTGGTTCATGTAATATCTAGGCTACAGAAGAGTTCTAATCTGGCTAAAATCTTTTCAAATAAAAAGATATTTGGAAACATTTTCCTATGTACAATGAAGACTATTTCTTTGTCAACAAAAATTAATCATAAGAAGGAAAAGCAAGCAAATTAATTTAAAGAATGAATGGGAGATAATGCACTTTTACATTTGGGGCCACATTGAAAGAAGTATTGACTAAAATCAAAGGGAGAACATCAATAGCACCTTAAATCTTCTGTCAGTGAGTTTGTTTAGTTCATTGGTACATAAATAGACATAAACATTGCATAGAGAAAGTCACAAATATCATCTCTGGACTTGTGCCGTTGCCAGAAAGAAATCAATGCTTTTTTTTAAATTTAAAAAATGAATTAAAATTTTTAAAAAAATAAATAAATTTTTAAATCATTTTCAAACAAATAATATTTGAATTGGCTCTAAGCATTACATTGAATAATAAGGGTACCTGACATTCTAAATAATGATATAGCTATAGTAATATTTAGATTAATTTCTGCTGGATATTATTATATTATGCCTAATAGTAAAGTAGGGGAATTCTTCTTTCAGATCTTGCAAACTATGTTTCAGATGATTTAATGCTTGTTATTTTAAGACCACTAATTTAAATTAACAAGAATCTCCAAAGATATTCATCTGCAAGTAGTGTTTATGATTGAGTAGTATTATGAACTTGAGAAATTTTCAATACCGGGGTATGGAACAATAAATGATCAATCAAGGATGCAAGATATTTGGCTCTCCAGTCATGTAAAGGCCTATCTACCATGGCATAACAGTAATTTCCAACTGAGATTATAGACTAATCAACTATAGAAAATAAGAAAAAAAAAATTTTCTTTCTGATGCAATAATTTTTCTTTTAGGAATTGAAAATCAAATGAGAAAGCTAAAATTGGAGTCATCTGCAATCGTTCAACGTTCGTTGTTACTGTTCTATAATTTTGTCATTGTTATTTCCCTTTGAATGATTAAGCAGTAATAATTAATTTTCCTCCTATGTATTTGAAATACCATTTTAATTAAAAGTACATTTTTGTTTATTACCAAGCACTTATAGTGTACTTATCTACAAGATCAAATTTAAAAAAAAGAATGATTTGTATGTAATATAATTATGTGACACAACCGAAATTTAATCGTAACATGTTAGTTACAAATTGAGGGGGAATAAAAGAGTTACATAAAATGTTAGCTCTCAAATAAGTATGAACATAAAGAAGTAAAAAATATTTTTTTTTTAATTTTACAAATAAAACATCAAAAGAAAATGAATAACAAAGTAGATGAGAAATAATGAAGTAGGCCTTTTTTTTTTTTTTTTTTTTCCAATTTCAGAAAAATATTCAATGTCGTGATCACTAAAATAAATCTAAAATAAAATAGTGCAATAGTCAGGATAAACAGTACTTTTACTCTGGCCAACCGCAATCTCTATTGATAAGTAAATTTTATAAAAAGGGAGATAATTATAAAAATAAGAAAACATTGATGTATGTACTTTTTAAACTAATCGTAGTAAGTTTAATGTTGAATCTCCAGTAAGTGTAATATATTAAAGTTATTATGAAACAACCTTGTATTAGCCCTGGTAGTTCAGAAAGACGTAAGTGCGAGGCTATTATGCTTTGTGCTGGATATTGCCAGCTGCAAGGTCTTGATAGATTTCAGATTCCAGAAATCTTCTGTAGGAATCCTTTTCCATCAATGCCTGGACTCTTCTCTGCGCCTCATCAAAAGTTTGACGATTTGGGTTAGAGGTTACAGATTCAAACGTCAAGCTTCGTGTTTTGGAGTCCAAATTAATCTGAAAAATACCGGTAATTAGTAATTTTATTAACCTAATTACACTATTGATAATTTTTTTCATTTATAAGGCTAACACATATAGGCCTATGTATATTGGGAAAACCCATTAAATCTTTTTAATATATAGATCTATATCTTCCATTAAAACTTTTAACGAAATCCGCAACACCGTATTCAAACTTTATCAATGACTTCATCCCTATTATCCACTAGACTTTATCAATGTATAAATCTATCACATAGTATTGTACAAAAACACTATTAGTATCAAATCTTTTAGAAAGATTTATCAAGGCCACATAGCTTTCCTTTAGCAGAAAAAACAAGATAAATGCCTGTGCTTTATTTATGGCCGGAACAATGCGGCCCACAAATCATTTTTCCCCATCTAAACGCAGCAGATGTGTCCAAAGGAACAACAAATTTCCGGTAGGCTAGAGTTTGGGATCAGGAGCACCGCAGGTTCTACCAGGTTTTAGCTAATATTTGGGTATCATTTCACGGTATATAGGAAATATAATGTTATAATAACCATAAATAATAATACAGTACAAAGGCGTAGCTGGGAATTTTCCATCATTCGGGGGACTGGGGGGGGGGGGCTTGGTCTCTTTGGGGCCCCTGCATTTTGCGTAATATTTAATATTCAATGTAGAAAAAAAACACTCATTTGACCCCCCCTCCCTCTCAAGTGGGGCTCGGGAGATTTTCAACTTCTCCCCCCTCCTCTCCCCACCCTAGCTGCGCCACTGATACATTAAATATTGGTAATTTTTTGGACTGTTTGCTAACGCTTCAAACGTACAGTCGTAGACGTACCTCTTTCTTGGACTGAACAGCCACATAGTCATTAAATATTTTGGTTGCTAAGGAAGGCAGATGCTTGCTGGACTTCATGTTTTTATAGTTTTCACAAGCGATCCAAAACTCAATGTTCTCGTCGCTGTGCTCTGAGATCAAAAACCCACGGAACAATTCCAGGCCAGCTGTAAATAAAATGTACGAGATGTAGGCCTATATTAAAACTTATTTAATAAACAATAATAATATATTTTATATAGCGCTTCTCTCATATTTATAGCATGCTCAGAGCGCTATAAGGTCTAATCTCATTTGTGGACCATTGGGGGGAGGGGGTATGTGGGAGAAGGTTTTCCGTGCTGCCTGTAGGCGCTCAGTAAACACAACTATGGTCGAGTCGGGTGTCGAACCTCAAGCCCTTCATAGGTAACCAAGCCAAGCCAAAGTTCAAGCGTACTTAGCATCTCGACAACGCTTCCATATTTCCTCCAAAGTACTCAACAAGTTTACTTAGGCAACAGTTTTTCTAATACAAACATCCGTTAAAAAAAACTCCTTAAAATATTTTTTTAAATCAAAACTATAATGCTGATAACTCTAACAAGGACGGTCCCAGGCCAGGAAGAAAAAAAAGAAGAGGGTTGGGCGTAGCCACCCTAATATATTAACAACCTCCAGTAGTGAAAGCCAGAGTAATCTGAAAGCTGACATGCAGACATGACAAATATCTTAGTTTCGACCTGGACCACTAGCACCATAGGTAAATAAAAATTAAAAAGAAAGAAATACAAACAAAAAAAAGTAACTTACTTTTATCAAATAATAATGTTTCAAAGGATTTGCTCCATTCCTGTGCCTCCTCTGGATCCACATTGGCTAACCGCCTTGCACCTTCATCGTTTTTCATCAGACCCAACGTTGAATCTGTGTGACGCCTGCGCAGGAAATTCATTTTCCGAGAAATTTTTTTAGCTCTGAAAAAAAAAAAAAAAAAAAAAAAGCATAGTTTACATTAATATTTTTGGTTTGATTATTTATAGGCTTATGGGTTTGAAAACAGTTTCCTGAATCAGCCTGAAAAAAAAAATGACTTAGCAGAGCATAAGGTAGTCTACTACGGACGTAGGTCTAATTATCTTCTATTTTGAAGGAATGCGTCTTTAATTTATAAGATAAAATAATCATAGGGGCAGAGGCGTAGCTAGGATGGGGGAATGAAGGGGGAAAATTTGAACATCTCCCCGGGCTTCCAATTGAGGGGGAGTGTTTTTACATTAAATATTAAATATTACGCAAAATGCAGGGGTCCCCAAAGAGGTCAAGCCCCCCCGGGCCCCCAAAATGATGTCAAACTCCTATCTACGCCACTGCCTAGGAGGCAAGACGTTCTGGCAAAAACAATAAAAAATATAAATGTAAAGGCGTGTACACTTTTTAAGAGTTTTCATCAAAGGTGAGGCGTTATAGGCACACACCCACACAACAACAACAAAAACAACATAACATATTAATAAAGATACTCAGGGAATTAAAGAAATATTAAAATCTGTACACACACAATTACTCATACGCTATCACACACACAAACAAATTAGAAAGTTCTTAAGTTTATTACAATCTGACTTTTTAATTTATTTTACTTTATTTTAAAGGTACTAAAATTCCAAACTCGAAATGATTTTGAAATAAAGATATATCTTACTCAAAGTCGTATCTGCCGCTTCGCATAAAATCCATTTTTTTGTGTGAATGGTTTCTCTATGATTTATTATATGAATCACACTGTAATGTCGATGTAATCCACGAAACAGCTTGAGCTTAAAACAACGATAGCCTATGTACTTTTATATAGACTAGGTGTCTACTCCAACTCATAGCTGACATCGCCCTGTGCTGGTCAGAATTTGTTCAAAAATGACTAAGTATGACCACTTCAGCTTTTTAAATTGTTGACATCTGCCCAAGTGTGTACATCCGTTTCCCAACAAAACACACAACATCGCATGTGCAATTTGAATTGCAAGGGCGGTGTGGTAATAGATTTAACTAGGGTATCTTTTCACTCCGTTAGTCGCAGCGTGGCCCTCTAGTGAAAAAGTCTGTTAGGAGGAGACAGATTGGCTAACAAGGAATAGGAATAGTTCCTCTAGCGGTCTCCCGCAACACTTTCTAAAGAACACGCATGGAAGAAAGGCTTTGCTTAACCATACTATCCCCCAACGACGCTGCAATGACGGCCCTTTCATGGTTCGTGGTGGTACATTGTAGGAATACGGAGGATTTTGTCGTGAGCTCGGACTCCTATCTCGTCTGAAAGGAATACCAATGGGTATCACGGAGCAGTGTGCCACGCTAGTAAGTAAAAAAAAAG